AGACAAAATTATGCTCAAGCATTATGATCCATGTACCCTGGAAGCCGTACCGCGAAAAGCGGCATCGAAGAGTCCAAACGGAGTGGTGATGGCTGCCTTCGCGGCTCACTGCGTTACCGATCTGGTGGAAGGCACGTCCAAGCCGAGACATTCGCCGGCGAAGAGAAGTCGCCGCCAGTCAGGTGCGCCCTGACATGCGGAAGAGTGCCTGTCAGTCGGAAGAAGATTGTAATGAATACCTCCCACTTCACGGAAGTTTGCTTAAAAACCATGCAGAGTTACGCCCAGTGAGCTGTTTGAATTCCTACTTTGGCTATGGTTCAGGAAGTTTGTGGCGCGAGGGCGGGAGGCACAGTGACTGCGTCCTCGGTTTTCAATGCTGGCACCAGATTAAAAGCCAGAGATCGAAGACAGTGCCTTTAATTGTCGAGCAGGGAGGAGAACCTTCCGTTGGAAGGCGCAAGACAAAGGAGAAAATGGTGTTCATAATACAAAACCGATTTCATATATCATGGATGAGGTGATAGATGATGGCTTGTTTAGCTTTGCAAAGTGGAGGAAGTCAAACCAAGGATGTTTATAATACGTCGTTACCGCGCGAATAACCAATGCAGAGTCTGGGGCAACGGTGTCTAAGCGGAAGTGAGAGCAAGTGAGTACCTTTGGCAGCTTAACAGGCTAAGAGGTTGTTTTGATTGCCCTCGGTAGTGAGGAGGATGGAGTTTAATTCACAACCTGTGTCGGCGAGGAACTTTGTTTGAGGCGGTGATTAAAATATGGTTTACGGGACGGAGGCCGAGGCGCTTCACCAGCCTTCAGGTAAGCGGCCGCCTGAATAGGTAATAGGGCCTGCGTCGCGACAAGTGCCGAAGTCTGGTGATACCCAGTACAGAGGGTATATTTGTTGTGTTGGGGGCTGGCTGCTAAAGCGCTGAACCAGGCGGTGTGTGAGTCAGGAAGCGTATGCAGCAGCGGCATGATGGTTATGGTTCCATAATGGTATCCATCCCTGCGTCTGCAACAACCTGATGTTCGCAGGGCTGTTCGGGCGAGGAAGAATCGCCATTAGTTCTGCAGGTACTGCACCCGCATGGCAGCGGTGCAGCAGCGCACTCATGAAAATTCTGTCTCTGCCAATATAATATTTCTGGTATCGCAGGAGGACCACGCGACAGATGCGGCACTTCTGTGGGTAGCTTTAGCGTGAAGCTGGCCAGGGATAGAGTCTGCAGCCCGTCTGAAGACGGAGTTCAGCCTGCGTATCCTCCCAGAAAGAGCTCCGGCGAGTTCTGGTGGAGAGAGACAGATCTGGTGAGAGCTGGAAGCTGGTCTGGCGACAAATACCGGCGTATCTTCAAGAGGGGAAGCAATTGTTGTCATTCGAGGTTGGAAATGGTCTGTGAGACCAGATGGCGATTTCCGCGCGGCGTTGCGAGAGCAGGGCGCCATACTTTTTTTCCATGGTCGTTAGGAGCCGACGAGGGGAAGGTTTCCACGATGATCGAACCAGCCTCAATGCCAGGTTAAAAGTCGGTAGAGAGATCCGTCCCGCCCATCCCCAGTGTGAGTGCTCGGGGTCACTATTTTCTGTAGTTTCAGATATTATGCTGGCCCAGCACCGCATGGATGGATGGAAACTCTGGCGGTGGCTGTATAATATAGTTGTGGCGGGTAGACAGTCTGGTGCTGGAGATGCCGGTGGTGAGGAGCTGCAGATAATGCCTGCAGAGTAGCGTACAAGGAGATGCAGGAGGCTGCTGAAAGACGCGTCTGCTGTTGGTCTCCAGGTTAGAATGGGAGAGCTGACAGCGAGGAGCTTGCTTAGAGGAGGTGTTTTGCAACAGAACGAGAGTAGAATGAAATTCCAATGGAGAGACAGAGTTGAGATATACATGTTTGAAGTAAAGGTGGGAAGTCGGTGTCTCTTTAATTACAGCAGTATTATATTTTAATGTTGGCTAAGAAGACGTGAAGGGTTGCTAGGATACTGTGGCATTGGAATGCGGCTATGCAGTTGTAGGGGAGACGTCCACTATACCCTCTTCAACGTAAACGCTTTTTTTCTGTGTTTCCAGTCAAATTACTGGTCATTTTGAAATTTATTTTACATATTGACAATATATAATGCAGTGCAGTATTGATTTAAAGAAAATAATCTTGAATTACACCAAGTGAACTAAAATTTTATGGGCGAAATGGCACCATGGGGTGACTTCTCTTCCACCCAATGCCTTCTCTTCTCCCTTCTCCTCCACCCCCATTCTAATTCCCATCATCATCATCCAGGAGCCTTCTACATGCACACCTCAAAGTAAGTGTACTTTACTACCTTTTTTTTTTACTTTAAGCAATTTTCGGTGAGCTGGTACCAATTTCCCAAAAACCCATTGAAACAATGGTTTCGGTTAACGACTTTTTTGGTTACGAGCAACCTTCTAGAACGAATTGTGCTCGTTAACCGAGGGACCACTGTACACTAATGGACTAAAGTTTGTATCTCATTGTGCAAAATATATGATGAATATATTCAAATTATTTGCTGTCTTGCAAGGATTCCAGCAATGCAAGTTATATTCTGCCAATTTTAGTCTGTGACATTTTATAAGATAAAATTCTTAGGGAGGCTTCTTAGCCCAGAATCCCCAAATTTTTTGGCCGAAACTTCCGAAATTGGATTTACCGGGTCCGGATCTTCGAGACCATATCCTTGCCAAGTTATGTGAAATTCTGAGTTATCAAGGGTTTAGTGTAACTGCTTTTGTCTCTTCATAGCAAGTGTGCTCAAAATCCTTTGTTTTCAAATGGTTAAAGAAAAAAATGGTCTAATTTGCAACTTTGTTCTAGTTTGTATTTTTATTTGTGTTCTAAAGTGTATTTAAATTTCAATAATGTTTATTTATTAACCACAATGTATGAAATTGCAAAAGTATCCTGGGATTAATACTGTATTCTTGTGTATTTTACAACATAGATATATTACCTGTGTGATAATTACACAATTCACATTAGAATTATCTCACATGTGTATAAAATATGAAGGAAAATCAAAATACATCATCGTTGTTACAAAATGGAAAGTTATACTGTACATTAACCTTAAAGTTCTGATGAATCTTGGGAAGCCTCCCTTCAGAAACTGAATAGTAGGCTAAGAAATGAAAATCATAAAATGAATGTACAGTACTTGTCTTATGAAATGTTAGACATACATGGCAGTCAATAGGAAATAACATAATTATTACTGTACTCACCACCGATGGTTATTGTTATTGGCGAGTCAGAGAAGTCGGCAAGACATCCTACCTCATCACCCCTCTAGAAGTTATCGCGCATCTGGGTGTGAACGGTGGTGCACTACCAACTCATTCCATGTTCTTACAACTTCACAACACCTTCACATGATTCCTTATTATTACGCTGTATACAGTACACTATATACGGTACATTCACCACTCTGTGGCTTGGAGTGACAGGGCTTGGGAGCTGGAGTTCTAAGATACACGACCTTCCTGCATGGTGACAACTGTTATACCTGTACTGATTATTTGCTTGAAATGCGGTCAAGGAGAAGTGTGGGTGAGTGGGAATGAGCTATTGCCACCATAATAGTCACGCTATTCACACTGGAAAAAAAAATGAAGCGCTAGATTGACGGCATCAGACCCCTACAACATCGGGCGCTCTGGGATGACATCAGACCTTTAATGGTTGATTGTGTTAAGCTTAAATGAATATCGAATAAAAAATATTAATTGAAATAGTACAGTATTCATACTTGCTAAATTTATGCCATGTCTTTACAGAATATGTAACCAAATATTTTCCATATTCACTGCCTCAATGGATGGTGATATAAGGTGGGAACCATTCATAAAACAAAGCTTTCAGCTTTTGATAGGTTATAAGCTTAAATATACATTTATTGTCAGTTTTCCCTAGTATAAGCTTAAATATACATTTATTGTCAGTTTCCCTAGTATTTATAAGAAAATTAATTGTCATTCATGATGTACAGGTACAGTATTTTTTAGCACCCAAGAATAAAATAGAAAACCTATTAAATGGCCATTTGTTACTTGAGAAAAACTAAATGAAACTTGGCTAACTTAAAAAGTTAGCAATAATTAGTAATTATTTTAGAGCAACAAATGCCTTTCATATTATTCTAAATATAAAACAACTTAAACAAAAACATTCTACACCTACTGTACAAGTAAGTGTTAGTGTTATCAGCCTGACTGTCTTTTTCTGCGCACATTTTTGTCTTTCAAGCATAGGATTGGGATATGGCTCTATTATTTCTACTACCCATCTGAAAGCATTTTACTGGTAAAATTATGAGGGAATGCTAGAAAAAAGTTTAGGCATCAAAATGTTTGGCTCGGGAGTTTGTTAATAGTACAATGTCACCCTACAACATCGTCCAGCCTACTGGTCACTCAGCACTTGCTTGGTTCCAACATTTCCACCCCACACAGTACACACATAGTAGCACTGCCCCTCAGTGTTCCACCTCTGTGGATAATTGCACCCTGATTTTTCCATAATTTAGTGGAGTTTTTGTGAGTGAACACTCTACAATCATGGCTGGTAGATGCTCAAACACTTTGGGGTGAAGAAAGGGCCCAGAATGAAGAGGATTGGATTACTGTACAAAGAAACAAGAAACTCAGAAATATTGGCCAGGCAACATTTCGACCAAACAAATGCCCAGTCACTGACATCAAGATACTGCACTAGATGCATCATACCTAGCCACACACACACACACATACATACACATAAGTTCGAATTGCTAAGTGGGCTATATCTATAACTGAAAAGCTTTAAAACAAAATAGGTAAATTAGACAAACTGGATTATTCTTTCTATTGCCTGTGATTAGTAATTTTAGGTTTTTATTTTGATATTCATTATTTACAGAATCCAAGCAGTAACAGCAGCTGTGGTAGCAACACTTATACAGGGAATAACACCAGCAACAATAACAACAGTACCAGTAGTGATGAGGCCATCGTGCGTACACTGTGTGAATGGGCAGTGTCAGTACAGCGCTGTGGGGAGCACCGGGCTTTAGTTGTTGCTCGCTTATTGGAGAAGAGACAAAATAACGTTGCATCAGCTGAAAATGATCTTCCAGATGACAAGGACTCTGTGACCTCTAATCAGATGCTAACCCCAGGTGGATGTATTTTCCAGAACCTCCTGCTAAAGTTCTTAGATACACAGGCTCCTGTATATGGTAAGTATCTGATGTACAACATTATTATTTTTTTTTATAAATATGGACTATACTGTATTCTTATACTTATTTTTTGGATTTTCAGGCAAATGTGTTGTAAAGTTTATATACATACAGTAATGTATAGCAATATACACCCTTCCTTCATCAGATGAAGAGATGTATACAGTACTGTGAAATGCTTTCAAAATATTTTCACTAAGGAACATTGAAAGCAAAAAATTCAGTGATAAAGACATATAAGGAATGTAAAGCTACTTTTATTACACACAATATACTGTATATACTAGAGTACAGTTCGAGTTTCCATGATCCAATTTTTATATGAAAAGTAGGGGGTCGAACTATGCATGTAATATATTTTTGAGGGGGTAAAATTCATGCATTTCTGTGGGACATTTACAGTGAACGATAGCTTCCAGTAAGCTCCTTTATCCTGGGCTTGCCTAACATACCTCTTGATTCTTTCTTATGTTTCTACATGAAGAGCAGAACCCCATTCACTATATATGCCACTTTAATTCTACAAATACATTACCTGATACAAATGAAGATTTACAGATAATTTTCTTTTCATTTGCATCTGATATCACTAGTGGCACTGTTGCCAAGTTAGACTTATTATTATTATTATTATTATTATTATTATTATTATTATTATTATTACAGTAACTATTATTATTATTATTTTATTTTTATTTTTATTTATGAAAATGTCAGGGACCTCTGGACTGACAGATTCTCCACCATGAACATCCTCTCTCCTTCTTGAAGTGGAAGGCTGAGGGATAGCATCTTGTTCCCTCTGCCTTTTACTGAAGAAAGTGTCAATTGTGGTCTGTGGGGCATCTGTCCTCTTCACCATTAACTTATGTTTAAAGAAGGAGACCACTGAGTCCTCAACATGACACAAAGTTAGTTCAGTTTTTTCCACTTCTGGGTGCTTTGAAGCCAGTTCCCTGAACTTCTCCCAGTAGTAAATCACATCTTTCAACTGTTTAGCTGACATATGGTCATCACTTTCAATATCCTCCTCACCACTGTCAGCCTCTACCTGTAACATCCCATCCAGTTGCTTCAAGTCATCAGGAGTAAGTTCCTCCTCATGAGACATCACAAGCTCTTCCACATCCTCCTCCTCCACTTCAAGGCCCAATGACTGACCAATGGACACAATCTCCTGGTCCAACTCTGTTTCTTCCTCAAATCCCTCAAAATCATGGACTACTGATGGCCACAGTGCTTTCCATGAAGAATTGAGGGATCTAGTGGAGACTTCTTGCCATGATGACACCATCACTTTTACAGCCTCCAGGATGTTGAATTGTGTCTTCCAGAAATGTTTCAGTGTTAGTTCAGGATCATTGGAAGTTGCCTGATGACACCTCCTAAACATTTTCTTCATGCACAACTTCTTGAAGTTGCTGATTATATTCTGGTCCATTGGCTGTATGATTGATGTAGTGTTTGGAGGCAAAAACAACACTTTGACAAAGTCAAATTGATACTCCAAATTTCTGGCAAGGTCAGGGTCATGACCAGGAGCATTATCCATGAGGAGAAGAGCCTTTAAAGGGAGTTTATTGGTGGTTAGGTAGCTCTTGACAGAAGGGCCAAACACATCAACAGCCCATTCATTAAAGAGCTGTCTTGTCACCCATGCCTTACGGTTGGTCTTCCAATAAACTCCAAGCTTTGTTCTTACCACTTTTTGTTGCTTGAACACCCTGGGGTTCTCACAGTGGTAGACAAGCATAGGCTTCAGTCAGAAATCCCCTGAAGCATTGGCACCAAGCAATAGAGTGAGACGGTCTTTCATGGGTTTATGCCCAGGTAAAGAGGCTTCATCTCTGGTGATGAATGTTCTTTTGGGCATCTTTTTCCAGAACAGCCCAGTTTCGTCCACATTGAACACTTGCTGTGGAAGATAATTTTCTTCTTCCATCAGTTTTTTTAAATTCATCTAAAAACTTTGCTGCCCTTTCTTTATCAGCACTAGCAGCTTCACCATGCCTAACAACACTGAAAATGTCACTTCTTTTCTTTAATTTTTCAAACCGGCCTTTGCTGGCCCGAAAATCTTCAAATTCTGTGCCTGAAGAACCAGGTTGATCTGCCTTTAATTGTTCGTAAATCTCCCTGGCTCTTTCACAAATGAATTCAGTAGAAACCGAATCACCTTTCATCTGTTTTTCCCTAATCCAGATGATAAGTAACCTCTCAGTTTTTGCGATTAGGGATCTACTTTTAAACACTCTTGTAGATTTGTCTCTCACTTTCACTTCTTTAAATTTGTCTTTCTGTGCAAGAATTGTCGACACAGTTGATGTCGACATGCCATATTCTTTGCACAGCGCTTTTGTTCTAATGCCTTGTTCATGTTTTTTTATGATTTCCTACTTGGTTTGGATTGAAATAGCTTTCCTTGATCTCTTAGGCCCCATGCTGGATTCAAACAATGTCAACACGTGCTTTTCAAAGTTGTTGTAAATAAAGAATATTTTCTTTAAAATAACACTGCACTGTGCTATATATTGTCAATATGTAAAATAAATTTAAAAATGACCAATAATTTGCTTGGAAACACAGAAAAAAAGCGTTTAGTTGAAGAGAGTCTCAAGCAAGATGTTACCTCCAGTGAAAACAGAGAGAGACTAACGCCTGTTTGCTGTGTTAAGAGGCTGGATGCCGCGCATTAAACTAGTCACGTTACCTTCAATTATGTTCAATAATTGTTAAAATGAATAAAATATTGAATATTAAACTTTTAAAATTATTGAATAGTATAAACTTCTTGATATATACTAAAATAGTAAGGAATTTAAGCCCTAGAGCCGATTTATGTATTGGCGGACTAATACTACAACTGGTTGACCGGCCAGTGCAAGCGAAAACATGTTGAGGTCGGCTCGTAAGAAACTCGTTAACCGAGGGGTTGCTCTTTAACCGAATTTAAGAATCTTATGGGAGGCAGCTCGTTAACCGAAATCTCGTTAACCGAGGGACCACTGTATATATATATATATATATATATATATATATATATATATATATATATATATATATATATATATATATATATATATATATATATATATATATATATATATCACATTATATATATATATATATATCTATATATATATATATATATATATATATATATATATATATATATATATATATATATATATATATATATATATATATATATATATACCTGTATATATACCTGTATATATATATATATATATATATATATATATATATATATATATATATATATATATATATATATATATATATATATATATATATATATATATATATATATATATATATATATATATATATATATATATATATATATATATATATATATATACAGTATTACCCTTCTTGTGGTTTCATAGCGTTTTTACGTATCTTGTGATTGCTCATGAAACTGAACTTTCATAGCGGGTTTTTTCCACATATCTTGGCGGTGAGTGTCATTTCGAATGCTATTTTTAGATTTGCCCCACCCAGCCACCTACCACCCTGCCTGACTGCCTGTTTTGCTCATAAAATTCATACAAATTACCCGGCCAGAATATTATTTACATTGCTGGAATTCTTACAATATGATGATCATTTGAATATAAACATCATAGATTTTGCATTAGACATACAAATTTTAGATAAAATGTTACTCTGAGTAAACAAAATATTTATTTTTGTGCAAATATATGACATTTGTATTCAAAATATTCCTAATCTTACAAGGAATCCAGCAATATCAATTATATTATCTAACTTTAGTTTGAGGTATTATTTATTACTAAAGTTAAATATTCTGGTTTTCCACACATCTCCTTGGAGCGGTTGGTGGGGGTGGGGAGGGAGGAACCGACCGACCATCTGTTACCCCTGTGAAGAATATTTTTTTTTATTAACTGAGAATATTTGTTTTAGCTCATAAAATTCATACCATTCACGGCCAGAATATAATTTTACATTGCACAGATTCTTACAATTTGGTGATCATTTTGAATATAAACATCATATATTTTACTTGCATTAGACATAAAATTTTTAGATAAAAATGTTTTAATCTGAGTAAGTATATTTATCTTTTGTGAAAATATATGACATTTATATTCAAAATATTCCCTGATCTTACAAAGGAATCAGCAATGTCAATTATATTATCTAACTTTAGTTTGAAATTATTATTTATTACTATACCTGGTTTCCCCAAAATTTCCTCAGAGAGGAAAGGAGCCACGGCAGTGTAGTGTGAGAGGGAGAGTTAGGTCCATTATTTGAATGGACATTAACTGGCGCTGTATTTCTCTATTTCTCTTAATTATTAATTGCATGTACCATCATAAATTAAGATGATTATTTTTTACTACAACATGTATGTGTGGAGTCAAAAGTGGAGTTTGGGGATAGGCCTGGACTCCATTCAATTAATCCCATATGTTTATGTTATTCACTTTGTCGTTTCTAAGCTTTCAGCGGTACCCTCGGGTTACATTAACGGCGTAAAGTGAGGAGTTAACTATTGATATTATTATATATATATATATATAATATATATATATATATATATAAATATATATATATATATATATATATATATATATATATATATATATATATATATATATATATATATATATATATATATATATATATATATATATATATATACAGTTGTACCCCACTTAACACGGTCAATTGAACCCAGAGGGTCCCGCGTTAAGTGAAAACCGCGTTAAGTGAATAACAGAACATATGGGATTAATTCCAATAGAACCCAGCCCGACACCCAAACTCCACTTTTTGAAGGCACATACCTATGTTGTAGTAAAAATAACATCTTAATTTTATGATGGTACATGCACACAATTAATACTTAAGAGAAATAGAGAAATACAGTCGCCAAGTTAATGTCCATTCAAATAATGGACTCAACTCCCTCTCACACTGCACAGCCGGCAAACAGATGGTCGGTCGGTCCCTCCCTCCCCCCCCCACCCCCCACCAACCGTCCCAAGGAGATGTGTGGGATAACCTCAAACTAAAGTTAGGAAAATATAATTGACATTGCTGGATTCCTTGTAAGACCAGGAATATTTTGAATATAAATGTCATATAATTTGGACAAAAGATACCATAGTTACCTAGAGAAAAATTTTTATCTAAAAATTGTAAGTTTAAAGCAAAATATATGATGTTTATATTCAAAATGATCACCAAATTATAAGAATTCCAGCAATGTAAATTATATTCTGACCGGTAATTTGTATGAATTTTATGAGCTAAAACAAATATCTTCAGTTAATAAAAAAAAAAATAATCTTCAGACACTATCTGTCAATCAAAGTACCCCACCTTGCCTCCCCCCCTCTTCCAACCGCGCGGTCAGTCCCAACCCTCCCCCCCACCCCCCACCAATCCTCCCTTCCAGAGTTTTTAACATTTAGTATTAAATAATACCTCAGATTAAAGTTAGGATAATATAATTGACATTGCTGGATTCCTTGTAAGACCAGGAATATTTTGAATATAAATGTCATATATTTTCACAAAAGATAACATACTTACTCAGATTAAACATTTTATCTAAAAATTTTATGTCTAATGCAAAATATATGATGTTTATATTCAAAATGATCACCAAATTGTAAGAATTCCAGCAATGTAAATTATATTCTGGCCGGGTAATTTGTATGAATTTTATGAGCTAAAACAAATATCTTCAGTTAAAAAAAAAATATTCTTCACGACACTATCTGTCAATCAAAGTACCCCACCTTGCCTCCCCCCTCTTCCAACCGCGCGGTCAGTCCCAACCCTCCCCCCCACCCCCCACCAATCCTCCCTTCAAGAGATGTTGGGTGAAAAATTTAGATTTTAACATTTTGTATTAAATAATACCTCAGATTAAAGTTAGGATAATATAATTGACATTGCTGGATTCCTTGTAAGACCAGGAATATTTTGAATATAAACGTCATATATTTTGCACAAAAGATAACATACTTACTCAGATTGAACATTTTATCTAAATATTTTATGTCTAATGCAAAATATATGATGTTTATATTCAAAATGTACAGTACAGTGTTTTTTGGTTTATGTTATACATTGGTATTATTTTTATTTATTCCTGACGTTTACTGGTATACAGTACAGTGGTCCCTCGGTTAACGAACGGTTCGATTAACGAAATTTCTGTTCATGAATTACCTTCCATAAGAATCTTCAATTCGGTTAACGAACAAAAATTCGATTAACGAAACCCTTACAAACATCACGTTTTGTTGTGAGCATCAGCTGATCAGCTGATGGGCTAGTCCGCCAATTCAGTAATCTGTTCTATGTTTACATTCGTTTCCAGTGGAGTAAATATCAATAAAGTTGTCCTCTTTAATATTTTTGCATGTTTTTTATTAAAATTATGAGTCATTTTAACATTTATTTAACATATTGATAATATATGCAGTACAGGGAATTAGTTTTTTTTGTGCGCCTATCAGATGCTTGACTCAGCCACAAGGCATCAGTTGGGCTCTGTTGACAGTGGAGTGAACATCTATATTGTTGGTGTCTTGAATATTTTTGCATTTTTCATATAAATTATTGATCATTCTGAAATTTAGTTAACATATTGATAATATATAGCACAGTGCAGTGTTGATTTCAATAAAATAATCTTGAATTACACCTAGTGAACTTAAAATTTTATTAGTGAAATAACGGCATCAAGCATGGGTCCCCTGAAAGGTGATTTCCTCTCCATCCCCACTTCCTTCTTTTCTCCCTTCTCCTCCACCCCCACTTCTAATTCCTATCATCATCATCAACCAGGAACCTTCTACATACACACCTCAAAGTAAGTGTACTTTACTGCATTTATTTTTTTACTTTGTATGTACTTTTCCGTGAGCTGGAACCAATTACCCAATTCCCATTGAAACAATGGATTCGGTTAACGAACGACCCTCTGGAACGAATTGTGTTCGTTAACCGAGGGACCACTGTATATTATTGAAAGAAAACTATGGCTACAGGAGGAAAATACACACAAAAGATTTTTCCTAAATATTCTCTGTTGAAATGGGGGTGCGTCTTATATGCTGTAAAATACGGTAATTCACTGTCGTGAATGATGCTCCTTTTTCAGGAATGTATCTAGAGCTCTATAAGAGGTATGTCTGTGATATATTGGAGATATGAAAATAAAATTCAACAGGTAAACTTTGTCTCTTTCTACAGATGAGAATGCATTGTCTGTAAGATCACAGGAGTTTGGGAACTTGGTCCTCTTATTTTCTGAACTGATCCGTCAGGATGTATTTAGCCATGATACATATATGTGCACTCTCATATCGCGTGGTGACTTGGCCTCAGGCACTCCTGACCTGAAAGCTGACACATCTTTTGGAGAAAAGAAGGAGGTAAAATATTTTGTTATTAGGTACCTGCATATTTTGTTGTTATAATTCAGTAAGACATGTTTGGGAAGAGGCAAAAATTTTAGGCCATTACTTGAAGAGTTGAATTAATCATGACAGAAAGGATGATTGAAATATAATTTTTACTATAATCAATGGAAATTATATCTTCAGTTCATATCTATAGGATGGAACTGACAACATCGATGAAGATCTTGGGAAGATGGTGCAGAAAATAGCTGTTGATACGAGTCTTGAAGAATCTGGCACAGGTGGGAGAGGAGAACTCCGAGGGGAAGGTAAACAAAGACCTCCAAGACATTTAATATATGCTCAACACTTCCCTTTACCACAAGATGATGCCTACATGCATGAAATCAATCAGGTGAGCTTAGAAAATTTGGTGAAAGTCTCTGTATCCATTCATTTACTTTAATTTGCCTTTAAGATTAAATTTCTAATTGTGCAGTAAATCTAGCAATGCAAATACTTTGTCAACAAGCTAGTTGGCTGATTCACCAAGGCTCTTCCATTAAAAAAAAAAACTTTTGTAAGTTGCTTTTTCTTTTATCTGATCCCATTTCCCCATAGACTCCCATTATAAAAGCTGAGCTACATACAGTACCTAAAAAATTAAATCCCCAGAATGACTTAGAATATTACAAAACATGTTTTTAAATGCAGATTTTGATGTACACAGTGATTTTAAATGAAATTTATACAGTATAGTAACAATTTTATATGTACTGGTACTCATGGGAAATTTTTGTCAATATCACTGACTCGTAATCTCTCATCAAATTTACATAGGATTACCAAATTAGATTCTAAGTTACCTGAAATTGCATTCCTAACATTCATTAACACTTCACTTACCCATGATTTTATAGTTCAGGGTAAAGAGTAATCCAAAGGACTGTGAGAATTACTGCACTGTAAATGTCATGTGCTTTAAACAATGAGCACAAGAATACTGTGAAGGTGTAACGATAATCATGCGGAACAGTGTGAACAGTATGAAATGCTAAAACAAAAATTTTAGAAATTAATCACTCCTGGCTATTTTTACCATAGTACAGTATACTCTCGATTGATCGGAATCTGATATAACGAACTCTCGATTTAGCGGAAGGAATTTTTTCCGTTATTTTTCGCTCAATTTAGTGGATTATTTTCTAAATCGAGATTAATTCCATTGATACGCTCACACCTACGGATACACCTCGGACACATGATATGTACATAGAAGCATTATTCATGGCTGACCTTAAACTAAGGAGTTCGGTGACTGTTTTCATTATTTCCTATGATTTCCAAACCTTTTTCCAATTGATGGCTGCACTCTTTTGACGTTCTCCCCCACACCACTTCCTTTCTGAGATTTCTGAGAGGTAGCAGTGAACAACACAAGCAGTGACAGCAGAACACAGACTGAACGGATGTAAACAATCCCCATATGCCAAGCTACAGTATTTAACAGAATCATGTTCAATTTAGTGAACTAGTTCACTAAATCTAAAGAAAATAACGGAAATTTGATTTAGCAGAAAGGGGTGCCTCAAATTAGTTCGTTAAATCAAGAAAATACTGTAATACAGTAAAGAATAATTAAAAAATTATATAAAATCTTTGGAATATGTAAGCAAAGTTCAGTTTACAATACAGTAATATACACAATACTGTATACAGTACTGTAATGGTACAGTATTTGTACATTAACGAAATCAAGTCTTACCTACATGATACTTTTGTGCTTCTTCATGTGTTTATATGCACTTCCTCTTGGGTTTAGTCTTGCCAAGGCACTACCTGAGTAGTTGGGATGGTCTTCCATGGTTACACACAATACTGAAAAAAGTTATTCACTCAACATCTTAAAGATCCTCATCCAAATCAGTGCTACTGCTGCTATCAATATGCTCTGGTTGACCAACATAAAGTTGTAGCAATAGATTGTCCTTAGTTGGTCCTATGACCCATTCACTGCCTAATTGGTCGATCGTATCATCTAATCACTGACAGTTGTCAGTTTTTCTTAATAAGTTGATCAGGTCTGGTATTAGAAGCCCTGAGATGTCTGTGTCAGCACTTCAGCATTTTACGATGATGTAAAAAAAAATACAAAACTAGCAGAAGAAAAGTAACTGGATTTTTTTTTTTTTTTTTTTTTTAACCAGAAACTTTTATTTTTCATAACTTCGGATTTTCATGAGCTAGATCTTTGTGAATCAGGGACAGCCTGTATCCCCTTTAAGTGCCATGGTCACTGTGGGGAGTAAGCCAAGCTCTGGATTAGACCTAAGCTGCCCTTGTTGATGGCTCTCGGGTTCAAGCTTAAAATACAGGTCACTCCTCAAAAGTCCTCAAATCTCTGATCATAAAATGGGTTTTCTAGATGAAATCTTCACATCTTTTGACTTGGGTATCATATTATACTCAGCTAGTGATCCATACATTTTAATATTAATTTTTTATTTTGTTTTTCCTCTTTTTTCATCTTTTGCCCAACAGAGACTTATATTATATCAATGTATAGCTGTCATCTTTTCTTGTTATGACAAATTCATAATTCCTTGCTACTGGCATACAGTATGTAGGTGTATGTCCTACTCTTTCTCTTCTTTATTTTCTTCTGCTTCCCATAATTTTTAAACTGTCATTCAGTCATTCATCACTTGTACCTATTTGTAATTTAGGTAAATTATGCCCTTTGTATAAAACATTTATTTTAGAAAACTAGCATTCAACTACAACAATGAATTCAAGTCAGTGATTGCCCACCATTTTAAAGTTTTTAGATTCTTCGATGCCTATACTTCGTGTTTTCTTCTTTCCTTGTGGTTATCAGCATATACAGTATGATATCAAATTTTTTTTTGTATTTGATTTGTACATTTACATTTTAAATGCGAATAATTTTTTTAAATATTTCAGAGGTACGTGTTACTGTATGGTGTAGGCAAGACTCGGGATGAAGCTCGAGCAGCAGTGAAGAAACTGACTAAAGAAATTTGCAAACTGTTTAGCAAGAAGTGTAGTATTGATATTGCAGAAGGTAATTATTGATGGTACATATGTTTCTCTCCTTGCAGATTAATCATGGAAAATATGAATACAGTACAATACAGTTGTACCCCACTTAACGCGGTCAATTGAACCCAGAGGGTCCCGCGTTAAGTGAAATCCGCGTTAAGTGAACAACAGAACATATGGGATTAATTCCAATAGAACCCAGCCCGACCCCCAAACTCCACTTTTTGACGACACATAACTATGTTGTAGTAAAAATTCTATCTTAACTTTATGATGGTATGAAAAAACAAGTAATATAGAAGAGGTTAGGTTAGGAAAGATAAAGGTTAACATAGGAAAAATAAAGAATAGGTTAAAAAACGAAAAATTTTGTGGAACACTTACGGTAGTAGAAGAGATGGGTCGGCATACGGGGATGGAGGCTGGTTCCGAGGCAGAGGGCAGATTACTGGCCCTCAGGTGAATCACCATTACTAGGTGAATCAACATCACTGTCACTTACAGTTGTCAGGGCTTCCCTGACAAATCCCTCAAAGTCAACTTCACTTTCACTATCACTGGCTTGGGCTGGCTGTGGTGGGTTGCGGGCGAAGAACTCGGTTATGCTTTGCTGACGGCTGGTGTTGATGTTGTCGTGATACACCTTGATGTACGGCTCCATAGCCTGCACCAGTCGGGTATGGAAGACTTCATAGCGTTCATCGTCATTGTCGCGGGAAAGGACGGACTTAATTTTTTCTGTAAACTCTATGGCACACTTAATATCACTATGACTTAAACTAGGTTCTTCGGAGAATGACGCACCTTCTTCCTCCTCTTCACTGGCGTGTTCTTCTTCCAACATCTCGTCGGCAGTCACTTCAGGATCTTTGATCACCTCCAGGATGTCTTCGTTGGTGGTCTCGGAGAAGCCTTCAGCTGTAATATTGAGCGCAGCTTCTCTGGCAAGGTCCACTGCTACTGCAACAGTCTGAACCTCACCAGTCACAGGTTCACTCCTCCTCTCACCTGGTATGCCATGCAACACATGTCTCCATGCGTGACGAATCGTAGCAATAGTCAGCAGATCCCATGCCTCCACCAAGAAGTCTACAGCTTGTTTAACGTTAAACTTCTTCCAAAATTGTTTGACGAGAAGTTCTTGAGTCACCGCCTCTTGTTCCTTGTCCTCGTCGCTTTTGCTCTCGCTGTCGGTGTCACCCAGCTTACGCAACTCATCCTTGGTGTTGGTAGAGTCGTTCAGGAGCTTGAACTTCTTTGCAGAGTACGCAGCTTTCACATTGCAGATCAACTCCTGGTCCATGGGCTGGATTAATGACGTAGTGTTGGGAGGAAGGAAGACCACTTTTACGTTGGGGTGACGATCCATAAGTAGGGGCGAGTGTCCAGGTGCGTTGTCAAGGAGCAACAAAATATTGAATGGAACATTCTGTTGCTCGCAGAATTTCTGCACGTCAGGAACAAAACAGTTGTCAAACCAGAAGAGGGACAGAGAAAAGGACATCCACGCCTTACGTGCGGTTAGCCAGTGGACATTAAGCTTGTTCATGTCCATATTCTTGTAGGCGTGCGGCTTGCGGGCTTTGTGAATCACCGATAACTTTGGTTTACAGGTACCGGAGGCATTGGTGGTAAACAGGACGGTGATGCGTTCCTTCTGCAACTTCCGACCCCTTACCTTGCTGGCAGACTGGACAACGAAGGTCTTGGAAGGTAACTTTTTCCAGAAAAGACCAGATTCGTCCATGTTAAACACCTGGTCGTCACTGTACTGTCCTTCCTCCATAATCTCACGTAAAAACGGAGGAAAATCTCTAGCCGCCACACGGTCAGCACTCGCTTCCTCACCACCAATGTTGATGTTGGTGATCTTGTTCCTCTTCTTAAACCTATGCAGCCAACCAGAGGAAGCATTGAAGGGTTTGGGCTCTGCAATTCCCAGTTTACGTGTCACTGCTGCGTATAGCTCACGTGCGTACTCCTGCACTGAGCGCGTGTCCACCGCCATGTTGCGTCGCGCCTGACGCACCAAATAACTCACCAGCAAATTTTCCACTTTTGCCAGCACCCTGTTCTGGCAATACCTGATAGATGAAGCACCTGCAGACTTTGTGATTTTCATGTGCTCTTTGATCTTGGCTGCATCCTTCTTGATCGTACGAATCGTAGATTCGTTGACACCATGCTGGCGCGCGAGATCAACTTGCCGTCTTCCTTTCTCCAAATCTTGAACAATTTGGTACTTCACCTCGTAGCTTAATGAACGTCGTGTCTTCTTTGGCTTAGTGCCGCTGGGTCCAGGTAAGGAAAGGTCTCTCTCTGGGGTCGATGGTGGTCCGGCGGAAGCCATTTTACGGAACAATGGATGCGCGTTAACACGGGGTAATACTGTATAATACAAGTGTCTCTCAGCTTACAAAGCTTCACAAAATGTAGCTGATAAGTTAGGTTCTATATTCATATATTATAGTCATTTATTTGCTATTACAGTACATACCGTATATCTCGGCCTATAAGACGGAATTTGAACCATAAAAAAAATCAGCCCTAAGTTAGGGGGTCGTCTTAAGCGCCAGAGATAAAATTCTTACCTCTTAAATATTGCGGTTTAGCGTGTCAAGAGTGGTGATGGAAACATGGTAAACCACTCACAAGGTCCTACCACTAATTATTTTATACTGAAACTTACGTTTGGGAAGCTGGATTAAAATGAAGATTACCAGTATATTAAAATAATAAAAATGTATTATAAACCTGTCTAACATACTGTAAAAGAACAATATACCCCGGTAATAAACACAGCTGCTATCATCACCCCCCCCCCCCATTTGCCAGTGACAAGAAAGGGAAAGTGACCTTGACTGTGACTGCTGTGGCTATTTTTAGCCGTCCTTGTGTTCGGAGGTGGTCAGTAATGCATATCTGTATATTTACTGATGATAATACTTATCTCCTATAAATAATTCATTTAAAATTTATTTTTTTACAAAGAATATTCAGTAAATGACTGCGTTAATTCTTGAAACTACCGACAGTGGTAAATTTAGGATATAAATGATGAACAGAAGTCACGTCATGGATTCGGAGTTTGGTCCTTAATGATCACCATAAATGTCTGGTCAACTTCACCTACCAGGTATAATGGTAGCCTCCCTTTTTCGCAAAACAAGTATATAAATTAAAGAAAATACTTGCAGTATATTTAATATATTACAGTATATTATAAATAAATAAATGAACAAATAAATCGGCAAATCTATTTCAAGTAAATGGAAATATTTTACTCACACTGACATTAGTTCCAGTTAAATAACTGACGCTTAAGTGAGTCACTAGTGTACACCAGCCGGTAAAATTTGATGCCAATACTTTAAGTGAATTGGCCTTATTTTAAATAACCAACCATAAATAAATGCAAAAAGGAAAAAAGATCAAAGGTGAGAAAAATTATATTGTATGTATGTTGTGTTGTCAAAGGAAGAGAAACAATTGAAACTCTGCAAGTGTGTGTAAATGAGGCAGAAAGATAGATCAGCAACCTAAGACTTGGTCACAATTTTCGTGATGCCATATGGAAGTAGGATCTACCATTAGACAATACTGTACATTATGCTTCCAATATCTTCCCAGGCGGTAGTATCTCCCTGTTTGGTAGCTGCCTAAAATTGTTTGTAATATTACTTTGATACAACATGATAAATTAGACAAACAATGAAAATAAACAAACAAAAGTTATTTACCAAGACCTTCTCTCTCAGAACAGAGGGATGGAGGGGGAGGGGAGATAAGACGGCTATTTATAGCCTGTCTTTGTGTAGGAAGTTGACCACACTAGAAATAATTCATTTAAAATTTATATTTTTTACATAGAATATTCAGTACATGACTGCGATTATAAAATACTGTATTGTGAAAATATATATGTATAGGCTATATATATATATATATATATATATATATATATATATATATATATATATATATATATATATATATATATATATATATATATATATATATATATATATATATATATATATATATATATATTCTGCTTTTATTCAAGACATCTTCAGTTGCCTCTGAAGATGTCTTGAATAAAGACCAAAGCTAAGGTGTTTCTTTCCGTGATTTATCAAGATTTATCTTATCCACGTCATTTGGATCTACATGAAATATATATACAGTATTACCCGCTAACATGGTTTCACTTCCGCATTTCTCATTTACACGTACCTTGCCAGAACCAGACTTTCACTTTCATGCATCTACTCATATACGGTGAAGTATAATTTTTTTTTTATTTAGCTCATAAAATTCATACAAATTACCCGGTCAGAATATAATTTACATTGCTGGAATTCTTACAATATGATGATCATTTTGAATATAAACATCATGGATTTTGCATTAGACATACAAATTTTAGATCCAGTGTAATAATTTGGTTTACACAAAGCAAATATTTTATCCTTTGTGCAGAATATATGAAGTTTACATTCAAAATATTCCCTGACCTGCAAGGAATCCAGAAATGTCAATTATATTATCCTAACTTTAGTCTAGTTATTTATTACTAAAATGTAAATATACTATTTTCTCCCAATCCCTTCTCTGGTAGGGAGGAGGGACCGAGTATTTTGATTGACAGATAGTGTCCTTGAAGAATATTTCTTTGTTTATTTACTGAAGATATATGTTTTAGCTCATAAAATTCATACAAATTCCGGCCAGAATATAACACTGAATTAATATGATGATCATTTTGAATATAAACATCATGGATTTTGCATTAGACAAAATTTTAGATCTAATGTAAAATTTGTTTACACAAAGCAAATATTTTATCTTTTGTGCAAAATATAAGTTTACATTCAAAATATTCCTGACCTGCAAGGAATCCAGAAATAATTATATTATCCTAACTAGTCTAAGTATTATTTATGACTAAATAAATCATATTTAATTCTGGTAGGAGAGGGGGAGGTACCAGGAGAAGATTTATTGACAGAATGTCAAGAT